AAGGTGGCAGGGTGGGTCTGCTGGATGAGGCAGAGAGAGTAGATCAAGGTGGCAGGGTGGGTCTGCTGGATGAGGCAGGGAGAGTAGATCAAGGCAGCGGGCTGGGTCTACTGGATGAGGCAGAGAGAGTAGATTAAGGCAGCGGGCTGGGTCTGCTGGATGAGGCAGAGAGAGTAGATTAAGGCAGCGGGCTGGGTCTGCTGGATGAGGCAGAGAGAGTAGATCAAGGCGGCAGGGTGGGTCTGCCAGGATGCCCTTATTTTGGGGGGAATGACTTTTGGAGGGATAGAATAATCATGCCAGTAGTAGGTTGAACAAGCTGATTCATGGGGTCATGTCGGATGGTGACTTTGCTTTTGTGTTCATTGCTTTTGTGAGATTTGTCCTCGGCAGACATTAGCCCTGACTCCAGTGGGGTTTGTGCCTTTTCTGGTTGCTCTTAGGGAAATGGAAAATTTTACCATTATTTTACTTGATAAAACATCTCCATTTAGAAATTGAAATGTATAGTCCAGTATCTTAACCAGCCTATTAATTACTATCCAGAGGTGAAGCTTCTCCTTCAACAGCTGGCAGCGCTATTGGGAAGGATGGGCAGTGGGCTGCCTCCTCTCCCTGGCCCCTTCTCTCTCTCTCACCTGCTCCATGGAGGGCTGATGGAGGAGCAGTAAGACTTTCTCATGGGTTCTGACCACGCTGCCCTGTGCTCCCTGGCCTGGCAGGTGTTTAAAACTCATCCTTGATTATATGGGCACTTGGGAGTCCCTCAGACCCCCCCTGGCTGGCCCCTGTAAGCACTACTCTCAGGCCTCTCTCCCCAGCCTCTGGTTTCCAAGCCCACCTCGCATCCTCTCCCTGTCCATGACCCACCTTTTCTGGGAAGGCGGAAGTCAACTGCCCACAGGTCAGTTTGTTTTTTCTATCATATGGTCATGTATCTTCTTGGCCCTAGCAATTCTGGGTACAGGCAGGGCCCAACCCAGCTGCCTCTCCTTACCCTGCTGTGGCGGCAGCTGTCAGCCAGACTGTCACCCTTAGATCTGCCGTCCTCTCGGAATGCAGGGGGCTGGCATCTAACCCTCTTCCTGGGCCTGTGAAAACTCACCTTACACCTGATCCCAGAGCCACTAAGCCGGAGAATCGTCTCAGCCCCCAGATGTGCCTCAGCCACATTAGGTGAGCCAGAGGGGAGAAGCCTATTTTTATTCATTTGGATGTTTGGACACAAAAGAAGAGATAGAAAGGCCACCGCTGGCCTGTTCTCCTGGCTCCCAACCTCAGACCCAAGCTGAGGGAGCCATCTGTGTGGGCTCAGCTGCAGCAACGACCCTTCATCAGGTGCAGGCAGTGTCCAGCCTCAGGGCCCAGGCACATCTTTTAAAAATCATAAGAAAAAACCCGAACTTTTGGACCAAAATGAAAATGTTTTAATTATATACAGAGGGTACCCAAAAATGTATACCCATTTTAAGCAAGGAAAACCCATGTTAAAGTTAATACTCAAGTCACGTTTGACTTTTGCTATTACAAGAGATGCTCAAACGTGACTTGTATTCATCTTTTGTTATTGGTATATAGTGAGCATTACAATTTTAATACAGCTTTTTCCTTTCTTAAAATGTGTATTCTTTTTTGCCATTCTCTGTATTAACCTATTTGTTTTTATATCAATTTCATCACGAAATATTTGTAATACTTTTTCACGAAAGATGGGACTCACGATGACAGATGTGCCCAGGGCGTGGGGTGATCACCTTGATTGTAAAACTGAAGACCCTGCCTCCTAGGAGTGCCCCCATCTTGGGGCCGCTGGTCCCTCTACTGAGCCTGTGACAGTTGTAAAGTGGCCCTTCCAAGGGTCCATTCATGTTCATGGCAAGGTAGGGGTGGCTGACCGCCACTCCTTGAAGCATCTGATGGGTCATGGGCTGGTTGGTCCCAATGGCTGCATGTGCTGTCCCGTGTGGCACTAGCTGGGCTGTCACTGGAGCCTGAGTGTCACCCAGCTCTGACTCCCACACACAGTGGTTGGGTCCCTGAAAAAACCAGAAGCTGCATTGCCTCTATCTTCAGAGGTAAGATGACATCACTTCTGCATTCTATCAGTTACAGAGCGTCCCAGGCCGGCTGGGATATAGGGGTAGGGGATGGGGAAGAACAGCCCGCACAGGAGGAGGGAGAACCTGTGCCCTGCTCTGCCCACTGCTGCACCAGGTGGTCCCTGAGCAAACAGAATGTGCCAACTCTGAGAGGGCCTCCCCCACCCTGACGCTGCCCTGCCCAGAGAAGGCGAGCCACTCTCTGCTTCCACGCCCAAATCACAGCAGAAACAGAGGGTGCAGTTGGGGGCTACCTCTCGTTAACTCAACTGCCCTGTAAACTTAGGGAGGTCTGAACAGCCTAACGTTATCTTTGGTTCCTTGAACAATTTACAACAGACTTTTCTACTCTCTAACTTCTGCAGTTGAGCTCGGTGCCCAGACTGCCCAGCCGGGCCCTCCTCCCCTCACTGGCCTGGGCAGCCAAAACAAGTCTTGAAGGGGTGGCTTCCCTGTGCTCTGAACTCGGCTGATTTCCCTTTGCTGCTTTTCCAAAATCAGTAACATTTTCACAAGTAATTTGAAGACCTGGCTGTTTTCTGTCCTTGAAAATACCTTTCCTGAGTGCGCCCTTTCTGGGCAGGAGCCGTGGTTGATGAGGATGTCTTAGAATTACACAAACTGGACTCCAGGAAATGACCTTGTGCAATTCGGGATAGAGATGGATTTCTTGATATTTACAAATTATTCAATTAATCTCATTACCATAGGGAGGAAATACATCTTTTCCTCTACCCATCTCAGGCTCATGGCTGAGGCCCCTGTAAGAACAGACAGAGTAACGAGAGAATAGCATAGGAATTTACTTAATGGGGTTTTTATGTAGCCTAGGAACCTTCATGAGGCAATGAAGAAACAAACCTGAGTGTTTTTTAGAGTAGGTTTAGGGGAGAATGAGACTTACAGATTGGGGCAGAGAGCACAGACGAATGGCACTGACTGGGGAGGCCGCGCAGGCCTGAGCGCTCCCGTTCCTCTCTGCGTCCCGGGTCAGCTCCTTCCTCCACGCGTCCCAGGGTGCCTGACTGCTGCAGGGAAGGCCAGAAGATCCTTTCTGGGTTTTCTGACCTGCTTGTGGGGAGGAGACTGGGGCAGGGGCAGGGAGAACTTCCTGATTCTATAGACTTTTCAGATTCTTTCAGCTTAAACTACTCAGTATGCCGTGGTGCCCTGTTTTGGGGGAACACGTCCTAAACCCCAGCATCATTTACATTCTAGACAACCACCAGGAACCAAAGGAAAAATTCGCACAAAATATCTAAATAGGGAGATGGAAGTTAGAAAGGAAAAGTCACTGAGTTCTTAGAAGTTCCCAAACCAAGAGCCCCGCGACCTCATTTCCTACCACAGTCCTTTTGTAAAGAACTCGCAAGGGTTTTGTAAAACTCACCCGTGGAACCCACTGATCTGAATTTTAAAACAGAGCGGTGGGTGGATGGAGAGGAAACTGTGCACAGGCAAGAAAATCAAAGCCTGAAACGGGCGCAACCTCTGTCAGGACCTGAAAATTGCAGGTGTTCAGTCCTTCCCAGATGTTACCTCTGTGTTTTGTAGACACAGCCATGAGCAAAGGCACACAGGGCTGGGCTGGCGGGTTGTGGTCTGGAGGGAGCTGGACCAGAGGTAAGATGGTGGGTGCCCCAGAGAGTCTGGGTGCAGGGGTGAGAGGCCTGGGTGGGTCGGCAGTGACCTGGGATGTGGTGCAGGGATGAGAAGCCCGGGCGAGTCGGCAGCTGGCCCTGGGATGTGGTGCAGAATAAGCCAGAAGCTCCCCTGGTCCTTGAATGGGCCCGGAATCCGGCAGAGCAGTGAGGAGAATGAAAATCAAAAGGCCTTAATTGAAAAGTGTGGACAGCAGTAATTGTCAGGGATGTCCAGGGAGCCACGAGGGCCACATCCAGGACACTTCCACCCTAGACCAGAGAGCATCAGGCAAGACTTTCTGGAGAAAGGGGCATTCTAAACTGAGACTGGGAGGGATTGGAATTAGCCAGGCTGGGGCAGGGGTAAGATGAGAGCAGTAAGGTGAGGTGATAGAGGAGTCCCGTGATGGAAGGTTGGGGGATCCCTGAAAGACTCAGGCTCTACTCAGGTCCCCTACCTCCCCAGCCACCACCTCACAGTGTGTCCTCCTGAATCCCAAAGGTGGGAGAGAAGGTGGATAGGAGACATGGCAGTGGAAGACACAGGTCCCGAAACATCCTTCACAGCAGCACTTTGGTGCTGACTTGGGCCCCGGAAGACAGAAGTGAGCCACGAGATCGCAGGGTCGGGTGGGGAGGCCCTCGGTCCACCACGTCAAGTGAGGCTCTCAAATCCTGACGTTTCCCCTCGTGACTCAGGGAAGATCAGTCACTGTAGAGTGTTGGAGAGGGGAGGGTCTGGAGTGTATCCCCCACTGGAGCAGCACTGGGGAAAAGAAAATCTCTGCGAGGTAGGAAACTGGGGGTTGAGGGCAATTTGGGAAGAAGAGAATCTAAGGGAGAATCAGGCGGAATGACTAAGGGACGGGGTCAGGCTGTTCTTCCCCCCACACTGGCTTTGGCATGGTGAGGTAGGGGTCCTCTGCGTGGTCCTTGTCCCTGCTTTCCCAGGGGTGCTGTGCTCTGATGGATGCCGGGTGTGTGTGCATCCCGTTTATTCCCTAGAGTGTCTGATAAAATGGTCACTAACTGCCGACTTCAGATTCGTGTTCTGTGTGGGGCTGATGCTTCCTGTCCGTTTAGTGTAACCCCAATATTTTGAAGATTCACAAAGTAAAAATATAAGTTTTACTAACATAGACACGATAATTGGTAACAATTCAGAAAAATTTTAACTTTCCAGGAACCATGATTTTTTGGGGGTGCAGTTCTTTAACTGCATAGAAATGGATACTTAAATATAACCTTAAATATTGGTCATGATGTACATCTATGCCCTCCCTGTAGCTGTGGCCCCTGAAGGCTGGTTTTCAAAATGTGAATGTGCCGAGGACCCCAAACTCCTCTCAGTTAGAAGGAGCATCATGGCCAGCGCTCTTAACAACATTATTTTAAGCCATTAAACGTCACTCTGGGGATGTCATTAACTCTCAGACATACGTAATTGCCTTTCTTAATGAAGAAAGTGTTTTGACAACTTGGATAACTTGCCTATATCTCCCCCTCTTTCTGCCTTGGAAGACAAAATGAGTCCTTTCTAACCCAAAGAATAAAAAGTCTTTATCTCAGAAATGGGACTTGGAAGTTCAGATCTGGAATCTGACTATACTCAAAGATGACACCCAAACATCAGAGGCTCTTGTAATGACAAGCCTCAGGACTGTCTTTGATTCTGTCTCTCTCTCTCTCTTTTGTTTGTTTGTTTGTTTTTTTTTTTGAGACCTAACTCCATCACTGTGGATACAGTGCCATGTCATCATAGCTCACAGCAACCTCAAACTCTTAGGCTCAAGTGATTCTCTTGCCTCAGCCTCCCGAGTAGCTGGGACTACAGGCACCTGCCACAATGCCCGGCTATTTTTAGAAACAGGGTCTTGGTCTTGCTCAGGTTGGTGTTGAACTCTGGATCTCAAGCATCCATGCACCTCAGCCTCCCCGAGCGCTCACACTATAGGCATGAGCCACTGCACCCAGCCTTTTGGTTGTGTCTTGAAACTTTTGATGAACCTCTCTGTAGGACCAGGGAGATGACCGGGGGAGGGGGGCAGTTTATGCCTTTAGATAATAGAAATCTTGCAAGTTTTGTATTTTTTTTTTTTCTGAATGATTCCAGAGGGAAAAGAAAACAACAGATAAAGGTTGCAACAAGAAAGATCTTAACTCAGTATAAAGAAGAAAACAATATTTAACAATTAGTCCTATCTGGAAATGAAAGACTTACTTTGGGGAAGTGAACTGATGGTGGGCTTCAGACTGGGGGGCGCGGGGAATGGGATAAGGATGGGGTGGGATAAACTCTTTTCTCCAAAGACAGGTTGTCCTCAGTCTGGGCTCAGTGGAATTCAGAAACTCAGTCTGAATAAGGACACGTCAGTGCTCCAGATTAAGGATGGGGCTGAGAAGACAGTACAAAGTGCATTGCTTTCCTCAGAAAACTTACTTGATGATTAAGAACTATCTGAACATAAAATAAAGAAACATCCCTTAATGTGGTCAGGAAATGGGAGGAGCTTCAGCTTGAGGGAGCCGCCTGGTGAGGAGTGATGATGTAGATCTGGGCTCGCTCTTCCTCCTCAGTGGGTTTCGGGGAGAGTGATGACCTCACAGTGATTAGAGAGACAGTGAGCTGTTGACATTTTCCCTCTTCAACAGTCCTTACTCTCAGGAAGAAATAAAGAAAATGGGAGAGCCCAGAAGGACAGGATCTTTAGCTACCCAGTAATGATGATTAGAGAGCTGAGCAGCCCTGCTGACCCCGGGAGGCTCCCACGGCCAGGGCACTGCCTGCTTACTTGCTTTCCTGTCTTTGGGGATCCCTAAATCCTGAAACCACAGCACTGCAGCTGCCAGAACCTCCAATTGGCAATTCATTTCCTCACCATACTTTGCTTTTTCCTCCAAATGATGGGGGAAGTCATGGGTTTAATTGTGAAATTATCCTTCTTTGGAGAAAAATGCAAGATTTTTCAAATAATTTTCAGAAAGGTAGAAACCCAACTTTCACTCCTGGGACTTTTTGGTGACATCTTCAAGTAATAAAAAATAATTGCTTTTTTATAAGATGTATGATTTTGTGGTGCAGAGAGCAGTCCATATTCACTGTAGAGCACTTGAAAAATACAGACAGGCATAGATAAAGAGGAAGAGCACACGGAACCCGCCACCCAGAGACGAGCGTCAGCACATGCTGCTGTCCGTTCTGTTATTCTGGTGTGGATGTATCCTAACTGAATGGCTGTGTGGTGCCTTCATACTCCAACTTGTTTAACTAATAACACATAAACATTTTCCATATCCATAGATACAAATCTACATGACACATTCTAGCCAGGGAGTATTCTAGCCTGTGAGCATACTATAGTTAATTTCACCAGTCCCTTGGTATGAAGTATGCAAATTGTTTTGACTGTATCCTTAGCATGTAATAGCCTGATGAAGAGTGTTTTTGTATTCATTTTTGAGTATATTGGTAGTTTTTTCCTTTTAGTTATTTTTTTCTTCGAGTTATTTCTAAAGAGAAATTTCTGGATAAAGGGTATGCTCACTTTTAATTCTCTGTATGTTGTCCATCTCCTCCAAACCCCCACCAATCCAAGGCTTTAACAACTGAGAGATGTTTCCCCTTACGTGAGAGTCCTGTTTCTCCATGCTTTCTCCAAAACAGGACATACCCTTTATTTAAACCCTGATAAATCTCCAGTGTTGTTGGTGAAAAGGCCACGTCCTCATTTCAATTGGCACTTCTTTGGTGGTGACAGAGGTTGGCCATTTCTTCTTGGTCATTTGTCCATCTGTGTTCAGGAGCATCTGTCTTTTCTCTGCTGATTTATTTGTAACTGCCCCTCTGGGACTTTACATGTATTTTAGTTTCAATGAAAGACATTGGAGACAACTTCGCTAGGAAAAATACAATTGACAAAATTTAGTTGAGGATTACTTTGTAAAGTGAATGACTACCATTGAAACACAAATGCATATTTTCTATGCAGGATTTGCTAAATTCTACCCACTTGCATATTGGTTCTGCCTTTGGCCCCCAATTAATTTTTAAATCTATAAAGATCTTATAATTGTTCCTAAACTCCAGCATGTTGGTGAATAAACTTAAATGGTAATTTAAAAGTAAAAAGTACATAAATGTATGCCAAGCAGACACCCGTAGGAACATATGTCCTTCCCTGTCCCTGAGAATTTGAGTGGAGGCTTGATGTCCACGGCATTAGTACCTTGAACACAGGTGATGTGTTGGTCTGTTCTTCTGTTTTCCATCATCTGAAAGCCTCAGGAACTGTAAGAAACTGAACTGAGAATATTACTGGGTCGTGTCTGAGGCCAATTTTAAGCATATCCTCTCTTAGGTGAATTTTCTTTGAGTTCCACACCTAGAGTGTGTGTTTCAGGAGGAACAATGTTTGGGGCTGAATTTTCCTCTCCTTTAAAGCTCCTGCCCCAGTTTTAGCTTGCGAGTCAGTACAAAATCCATCGGTGATTATCCAATGGAATGGTTTAGTGTTTTATGTCACCACAATCAAAGAAGAGCACATACCAAGCGTGAGAGCCACATTCATTAGTAGAATGATTTTGCTAAGTCACAAACACAGAGATAGGGTTTGGATCGATCTCTCTTTAGAATAAAGATCACATTCCTATTTCATGCAGGAGGCTCCAATTCCTCCCTGTTAGCCAAGAAAGCCATTACTTAATATTCCAACCCTCGGACGCTCTGCAGGAAGGATCTAATTCTCCTGGATCCAGAGTCTTAAAAAAATGCCTTGCAGATGTTGCTGTATTAACAGGAGGCAAGGGGCAAATGGAACCATTTGAATGCTTTCCTTTTTCTCATTATTCAAGGTTTCAGAAATGAGGACAACGAGACTCTGGCGTGGGAAGGTGTCATGAAGGAAAATTACCTTGTCAAGATCAACACCAAAGCCAATGACACCTCAGAGGAGTACGTAGGCCACTCAGTTCCCTTTGCGAAGTCCCCTGTGTGTGACGTGCGTAGGCAGCCTGTCTGAGCATGTTCAGATAACAGCAATACCCACCAGCGCTTTACACAGGCAGTGGAAGATGACACAGAAATGTGTGGCAGCCTTTTAGAGAAGGAACAAAACCACCCACTTACTGTCCTAATTGCTCTTCAGGGCTCTGGGGGAGAAAGGGGTGTTTGGAGCCTGCAGGGCAGGACCCTGGAGCCAGGCTGTTGCCTGGGTCCCAGCAAGACTCAGAGGTCACTGCAGTCCCACATGCTACTTGTCTCTATAATGAGAAAGTAGAGATTAGAAGAGGGAAAAACCATTTGGTTGATCTGTTTCAGGCTGTCCCGGAAAAGTCCTGAACATCAGTTCTGAATCACACGGGGTTGTTATCAACATGCCTGTGATTTGTCAATGGATTTGTTAAACATCTTACAGAGATCGTTACACCATGGGTAGCTAAGATGTGGGGGGTCCACAAGGAACGCGTTGCTCTTCTCACTGTGAGGGTGCCACTCTCCACTGACAGCTGTCACGCTTCCTAAGAGTCCCAAATACACCTCAGGATTCACTCTGACAAGATACGAGGATATATAAGCACAGTGAATCCCTCCGGGAGGCTCAGCACAGCTGGGGAAGGAGGCACGGGGAGCTCGTCTCTCAGCGCCGTGAGCACTCCCCTGTTCCTGGATTCTGAGATCCTGGTTTTGCAAGGGAGGGGCGGTCTGTGAGGCATCTTTACCTCGGGAACAGAGGTAGAGTTTACACGCTCTCCTCCTAACTGGGACTGGGGCGATTCTGTTTCCTTTGGGCATTACGAAGAAAATCAGAAAAGTCAGCACAGCTGATCCTGGATTTAGCCGAACGTGAAAATGACCTGAATTCTCTGCTTTAAAATTTGAAAATGGAGCCTAATGTTCCTCTTATCTCTTTTCTCTTGCTCACTTTCTTTCTTTTTCTTTTTTTCTTAACTTCCTCGCAGAATGAGGCATCGATTTAGACAACTGGATACAAAGGTATGGCTTTGTTTATAGTTTGAGAAATTTTTTTTTGGTCACTATTATCTTCAGATTTACCATCAGAAAATTAAAGAAGTTAATTGTTAAAAAAAAATAAAATAGGTGTGGCTCTGCCTGTCCTGTGTCCCCTGTGTGGGAGCTGACTGCCAGAGCCTCGGGCTTCCTGTGCTCCCGGCCTGCGGCCTGCGTGGGGAGGGACCTGAGTCCCCTTCCACAGTCTCTGAAAACCTTCTGTTTCGGCCTCGGGGCCCTCTCACCTTTTTCTTTCAGCTATTGGGCCAGGTGAAGATGTTTTCATTATGAAGAAAAACAGAAAAACCGCAAAAGAGCATCTGGGGAGCCCATTTCCTCTGTGCTCCTCTTTGTTGCCACTCCAGTTTGTTTCTTATTTTGCTTAGAGGACGTTGCGAATGTGTGACCACAATGTGAGAACACCACGGCACAGAAGGAGTGTGCCCGCCCCTCTGAGCAGGGTAGCCCAACGTACGATCAGGTTCAGCAGAAATTAGGATCGATTCATAAATGTGAGACCCCTTGTCAGGCTCTGCAGCACAGAGGATTGGTGTCCTATCTTGGTATCTTCAGAGTGGCATTCAGGATGACATTCATAGACTCTTCCTTCCAGTGCAAAATCCCCAGCAGCCGGTACCTTGCCACAGCAGGGCCTCGATAAATGCTTGCTGAATGAATAAATCAGCAGAAGGTGCCCTTTGCAGAGCTCTAACATGAGAGTTTGTCTGTTCACAGATTCCTGTTTATCTACTTCGGAATTTATCCTCAATGTTTTTAAAAACAGGTTGGCATCTGTGATAGCCCTAAGTCCAGGGAAACGTGGGTTATTCTAAGTAGCTACACAAGGAGGAAAGGGGGGGAGCAGCTGAGTGGGAGGAAGAGGGAGCAACTGGGCTGTTCTGTTCGGAAACTTGCCTGCCTCTTTTAGAACCAAATTTTATTTCCATGTAAGGGAAGGTGAGTTTTAAAGCCCCAGAGGGACACGTCTAGCATACTCCTTTCAGTGCGCTCTCTGCTGGGGGAGAGATGCGCACAGGACTTGTGTTTGTGAAGAAAACAGTCCAGGTTCCTTTGTTCTGCAGTCTTGCTTCTTACAGGTGCTTTTGTTTGGTGTGGTTTTCAAGGCAGCTGGTAGAAAGCCAGATAAGGGGCCAGGGTAATACTTCTCCAAGCCAGGCCTTGGTCGTGACCCTACTCTGGGACATGCAGAGGATGGACAGAGGGGGCAGCAACAGGGGATGTGGAAGGACAGGGATGGGAGGACACTTGTCCGCCATGCCCTGTGTCAGAGGGGAATCAGAGAACCAGGCACACAAGGCAAGCTGACCTGACTTCCAGGGGTGGAGCTGTCTGTGGGTCCAGACCCTGACTGCACGGCACAGCCCCACCACTCAGGGGGTCTCCCTGCCCCTGTTCTTCCCCCACCTCTGTCTTCTCGTTTCCCCATCTGAACTACAAAACATCCCCCCCTTTCCACTCACATGGAATTGTAGGGATCATCTTTTGTTTCTTGAGTAAGCTTTTAGAGTTTGTTATTGTTGTTAGTGGTTTTTTTTTTTTTTTTGAGATAGAGTCTCTGTCACCCTGGGTAGAGTGCCGTAGTGTTAGCCTAGCTCACAGCAACCTCAAACTCCTAGGCTCAAGAAATCCTGCCTCAGCCTCCCGAGTAGCTAGAAAATACAGGCCTCTACAATACCCAGCTAGTTCTTCTATTTTTAGTAGAGATGGGGTCTTGCTCTTGCTCACACTGGTCTCAAACTCCTGAGCTCAAGGGATCCTCCTGCGTTGGCCTCCCAGAGTGCTAGGGTTACAGGCATGAGCCACTGTGCCCTGTCTTTTTATTTGCTTTCAAATTATCATTATTATTATTATGAGACAGAGTCTCGCTTTCTTGCCCTTGGTAGAGTGCTGTGCTATCATATCTCATAGAAACCTCAAACTCTTGGGCTCAAAGCAATCCTCTTGCCTCAGCCTCCCTGGTAGCTGGGACTACAGGTGCCCACCACAATACCCAGCTAATTTTTAGAGATGAAGTCTCACTCTTGCTCAGGCCCATCTCAAACTCTTTAGCTCAGGCAATCCACCTGCCTCAGCCTCCCAGAGGGCTAGGATTATAAGTGTGAGCCACCATCCAGCCTTTAAATTATCTTTTAACAGCTTCGTTGAGATGTCACTGACATATAAAATTATATATATTTAAGGTGTACAATTTGATGTTTTGATGCATGTATGCACTGAAAAATGATCACTATATTTCAGTCCAGCTAATTAACACATCCATACCTATATACATAGTTATCATTATGTGTGTTTTGTGGGGGAGAGGGGTGACGTTTAATTTATAATCTGTCCTCTTAGCAAATTTCATGTGTACAATAGCGTTAACTGTTGTCACCACTCTGCATACATCTCTAGAATATTCATCTTGCATAAATGAAACTTCGTGTTCTTAGACCAACATCAACCATTTCTCCCTCCCCCAGCCCCTGGCAACCTCCATTCTACTCTCTGTTCCTACGAGTGTGACCACTTTAGGCTGTGTATTACTCACATACACTCACGTAAAGTGAGATCACACAGTCCCTCTCTGCCTGCATCTGGCTTGTCTGCTTAGTATGATGTCCTCTATCTAGCTCCATCCAGCTGTCACAAATGGCAGGGTTTCCTTTCTCATTTCAAGTCTGAATAATATTCCACTGTACATATTCACCATGTTATCTTTGTCTGTTGCTTTGTTGATGGACATTTAGGTAGTTCCGTATTTTGGCTATTGTGAATAACGCTACACCGAGCATGGCAAGGCACTTATTTCTTTGTGATCCTGGGTTTAATTCCTTTGCTTGGAGACCCAGAAGTGGGATTGCCAGATCATATGGTAATTCTATTTTTAATTTTTTAAGGAACTTCCATACTTAAGGGACTTCTGTGATGATTATACCAATTTATGTTACCACCAGCAATGTACTAGAGTTCCCTTTTCTCCACGTCCTTGCCAACACCGCTCTTCTGTCTGAAAGGTGTGAGGTGACATTTCATTGTGGTTTTGATTTGCTTTTTCCTAATGATTAGCAATGTTGGGTACCTTTCAAATACCCGTTAGTCTTTTGAATTTCTTGTTTTGAGAAGTGTCTAATCTTTTTGCTCACCTTTTAATTAGGTTATTTGTGCTTTTTGGTATTTAGTTGTATGAGTTCTTTATATATTTTAGATATTAAATACTTACTGATACTGGCTTGCAAATATTTTTCCTGTTCCATAGCTTGCTCTTTCATTTTGCTTATTATTTCTTTTGCTGTAAAGAAGTTTTGTTTGATATAATCCCATTTGTCTGTTTTGGTTGCCTGTGCTTTGGGGATCACATCCAAAAAAACCATCAACAATACCAAAGTCAAAAAGGTTTTTCTCTATACTTTCTTCTAGTAGTTTTACAATTTCTTTTCTTTTCTTTTAAACATGATATCTGCAAATTTTATTTTCTTTTTTAATTACACAATATTAAAGAGGTACAAGTGTTTTGGTTATGTGGATGAATTGTATAATGCTGAAGTTAGGGCTTCAAGTCTTATGTTTAAATCTTTTATTAATTTTAAGTTGATTTTTGTTTATGGTATGAGGTAGGGGTCCAATTTTATTCTTTTTCATGTGGACATCCAGTTTTCCCAGAACCATTTATTGAAGAGACTGTCTTTTCCCCACTGAATGTTCTCAATATCTTTGTCAAATATCAGTTGGCTACAAAGCTCTATTTCTGAATTCTCTGTTCTGTTCCATGGGTTTATATATATATATATATATTTTTTTTTAAATGTTGATACCATACTGTTTTAATTACTTTACCTCTGTAACATAATTTGAAGTCAGTAAGTTTGTTCTTCTTGCTCAAGATTGTTTTGGCTATTCAAGATTTTTTGTGGCATCATATAAATTTTAGAATTTTTTTCTTATTTCTGTAAAAAAAAGTACCTTTGAGATTTTGATAGGAATTGCATTGAACCTATAGAGTCCTTTGAGTCGCACAGATATTTTAACAATATCCATTCTTTCAATCCATGAACACAGGACATTTTTCCATTTATTTGCATGTATTAAAATTTCCTTCATTAATGTTTTAAAATTTTTGGAGTACAAGTCTTTCATGTTTTTGCTTTAAGTGTTTCTTAAGTTGTGTATTGCTTTTGTTACTTACGTAATTGAGATTGTGGTCTTAATTTCCTTTTTGGATGGTTCATTGTTGGTGTAAAGAAAAACTGTTGATTTTTGTATATTGATTTGTATCCTGCAACTTTACTGAATTTGTTTATTAGTTCTAACAGTTTTTTTATATGTGGAATGTTTAGGATTTTCTACATATAAGATCATTTGTTATATGTAGAAAAGAGATAGTCTTCTGTCTTTCCAATTCGGATATTTTTCGTTTTCTTTTCATGCTCTGGCTAAGACTTCCAGTACGCTGTTGAAGAGCAGTTGTAAGAGTGGGCATCCTTGCTTTATTCCAGATCTTAGAGGAAAAGCTTCTAGTTTACCCTATTGAATATTATATTAGTAGTAGGTTTTTCATATATGGCCATTATTATGTAAGTTTTCTATATCAACTTCATTGAGAGTTTTTATCATGAGAAGACCTTGCATTTTGTCACCTGTGTTTCTTCTGCATCCACTGAGATGACCATGTGGTTTTTGTCTTTCACTCCATTAATGTTGTGTATCATGTTGATTTCATACATTGAACCCCCCCTGCATCCCAGGGATAAATACCACTTAGCTGTCCATATGATCCTTTCAGTGTGCTCTTGGATTCAATTGGCTTGTATTTTATAGAGATTTCTGCACTTATATTTCTCAGGGATATTGGCCTGAAGTTGTTTGTGTTGTCTTTGTCTGGCTTTGGTAGCAGAGTGGTGCTGGCCTCATACAATGAGTTTGGAGGTGTTCCTTCTTCTGTTTTTTTGGGAAGCATCAAAGAAGGGTTGGCATTGATTCTTTGAAGGATCGGTAGCTTCACCAGTGAAGCCATCTGGCCCTGGGCTTTTCTTTGTTGGAAGCTTTTTGATTACTGGTCCTGTCTCCTTGTTTGTTACTGGTCTGTCCAGGCTGTGTGTCTCTACTTTATTCGGTCTTCCATGGTTGTATATCCCTAGGAACTTTTCCATTTCCTCTAAGTTTTTCAACTTGCTGGTATAGAATAACTCATCTCGGTCCCTTACAGCCCCTTTTTTTCTGTCACTGGCTCTAATGTCTTCTCTCTCATTTCTCATTTTAATATTTGTATCTTCTCTCTTTTCTTCTTAGTCTAGCTAAGTATTTGCTGATTTTGGTTTAAAAAAACTCTTACTTTTGCTGATTTTTGAACCAATTTTTATTTTTTATTTTTATTTTTTTTGCAGTTTTTCATCAGGAGCTGGGTTTGAACCTGCCACCTCCAGCATATGGGGCTGGCGCCCTACTCCTTTGAAACACAGGTGCCACCCCTAAAATTATTGTGGGGAAGAGCTCCCATTTAGTGTGAGCCCCAGACTTTATTTATTTATTCATTTATTTTGCGGTTTTTGGCCAGGGGCTGGGTTTGAACCTGCCACCTGCAGCATATGGGGCCGGTGCCCTACTCCTTTGAACCACCAGTGCCACCCCTAAACTTATTGTGGGAGAGAGCTCTCACTTAGTGTGAGCCCTGGACTTTATTAATTTATTTTGCAGTTTTGGCCAGGGCTGGACTTGAACCCGCCACCCCCGGTATATGGGGCCAGCACCCTACTCCTTGAGCCACAGGCACCGCCCTACTTTTGCTGATTTTTAAAACTATTTTTCTATCCTCTATTTTATTTACTCTTTTCTTGGAGAATGTCTACTTTAAACAGCTTATTAAAGCCATTTTACTATTAACAAACAGGGTTTTCTAAAAAGGCCCTGTCGGAAATAAAGTATCTCTCTATCTTATTATACCAGAAAAAAAAGTTATTTAAACTGGACCCTAAGTCTGTAAGTAGGGTTCCTGCCTTATGTGTTTTAGGCAACCATTAGCCTTTATGGCTTTTTTAAGTCAAAGGAAGAAGTTCTTAATAGAAATAAGTCCAACTTAAACAGAGATTTTTTTTCCTTGAGTAAGTTAGAAGTTAAAATTCCATTCTGTACAGACATTGCATTATTATCTGTGAGCTTTTATCGAGTGTACTGATATGGCATGTAATTTAAAATGAGCCTCATATATCTTGTGTAATAGATTTGTGAAATGCATGTGTAGCAAGAATAATCTTATTATGCCTTTTCCTAAAACTATGCTTTAGTATTGTATTATTTGTGTGTGTGTGTGTGGTGGTGGTGGTGGGGAGACATGTTATTTGCAAAACCATGATTTATTAGTATTGCACCATATTATTTTTCTAAGTATTATGTTCTTCCCAAAGCAAAACTTTATTGCTATCTTATAATTTTATTAGTATTATTTCTATGTAACATCATTATTTTTATATATTCCTTCTCTGTGTCATTGCAATTTACCGTTTCTGTGTGGAAATCACCCCAGTGATTTGCATTTGAGCAAAGCCAATATTAATTGGTTTACTAATTGGTTACTGCTTGCTGGTGACATGTGTCAGAAAGTAAGCAATGCGCAGGGCCTGTATTCTCACGTGCCACTCTCACCTGGCCTCATCCCCAACGTGCCTTATCCCCAGACCTGCTGTTTAATGTACATGTTGGTTTCATGAAAGAGCCATAAAGGAATAATTAAAATTGAAAGTTGGAAAATCCATCTTAAGACCAGTTCTATTTCTTTCTGTTTCCAAGCTTAATGATCTCAAGGGTCTTCTGAAAGAGATTGCTAATAAAATCAAATAAGACTGCACGAATTCTAATGGAGGAAAATCTAATTATAGCAAGGTAAGTCATTCTAATGGCTTTTCTCTTTGCTTTAGAAATGTACATATCTTAAGACTAATTTAAAACCATAATATTTTTCTCGGCTATTTTATTTTCATATAATGTGAAAATAACATAGGTGCAAAAATAAATTAAATAAGGCAGAGATGGAGAAAGAAACAAGCAAAAGCCTCTCCTCTCATTGCCTGACCCGTCGATTTTGCTAGCGATGCCCGGGGTTAGCACTGCCAGGGTAGAGTCCAGTGCCCGGTAGGGTCTTTTATGGAACTTGGGATCTATGCAGCTCGTTTAGCATAAACTGAAACAAGATCACACTGTGCTAACCTGCTATTTTTTTCTTTCTTAACTTTATATCAGGGATAACATTACAGATCAGTGCCTTATTCTCATGACGTATTATTATGTTTATTGCTATGGAATAAACAAATACATGTAGATTGCCCTTTTTACCAGCAAAAAAACAAAAAAAATGTTAGTGAAGTATTTAAGAATTTTAGCAATAGCTCCATTGCATCATAATATAAAAATGTAATTCAGTTAATTAGTAAAATTTAGCACGAGGCTTTGCGCCCATGGCCTTACCATTTTCTTTCATTATGTTCTCCCCTTACCTGTCCAAATCCTGAAAGCAAATGTTAAGAAGGTTGTTGGGGACAAAACAAAGCAAAACACTTTTTTTAAAAGAAAGTAAATTGCAAAGAAGGGAAACATAATTCAGAACCGCCCCTTCCATTTGGATTGTAGCTTTCCTAAGATAGCTAACAATTAGTTTCATAGTAGTGTTGAATACATTGGATACTTTTTCTTCCATTCTTGAGATACTTTGCTAAGGAGGACATTTCACTGTATCCTATGAGAGAATTAATGTACACAATTATGATCTAATAAAAAAAATGAAAAAAAAAAAAAAGAACCGCCCCTTCCCTCTTTTCTTCCTTTTCTTCTTTCCATGAGTGTTTCCTGAGTGCTTGCTAAGTGCCCAGGGCTGTGCTGGGTCCTGCAGCTTATGCAGACCTCGGGCAGGGACCTGTGTCTGCACATTAAGTACTTAACCCCCACAGCTTCCGCTCTCCAGCTACAGGGGCAATCATTTCTCATCAGGCTCCTTTCCATCTCTCTGCTCACTCAGTTCTTTTCCTTGGGTCCTCACAGTTACAGATCACATTTAAAAACACTGTATTAGGGAGGGCTTTGTGAGAGCAAGACTGATGCACATTTGATGTAATCTGAAAGGGAGGCACAGCCTCCTGATCTGCTCAGAAAAACCAGCCTTTCGTACCGAGGGAGAACTTACCTGCTCGTTCATAATGGTGTTTAATGAAAACAATATTACACCTTCAATCAGTTATGATTCAGCTTTTGAAATGCTTGCCATTTTATTTAATTGGTGAGCTAAAATATGGAAAAAAAAACAATCAGCAATGGATAAAAACAATTATAAATGACAGAAATCTAAAGGTGATTAAAGAGTTGTAATAATCAGAAAGAGTCAGATTCAGACACGCACACCCCCTCTTCAGTCTGCAGTCTTCCCTGGTTCTTTTTCAAATGCGTTGACTATGAGTTAAATGGGCAAAAAGACTGGCTTCCTACTGACTTGCCCTTTGCTTAACCTTAAATCTTTCTTAATATATTGAGGGTAATTAACTGGAGGGCAATGAGTGGGGAAGGACATCACTTCCTGTCTGTGTGCGCTCCAGTGTAGGTACGTGCTTCTGTGAAGGGAAGGAGAGGAAAACCAGCCCCATGATATCTGAACCACTGAATCTGGCACGTCCAATGTTTTGCCTACTTCTTACTTTTAGATGTAAGATCTTTTAGGCCAGGGCTGATGACTCAGGCCTGTAATCCTCGCATTCCGAGGCTGAGGCAGGTGGATTGCTTGAGTCAGGAGTTCAAGACCAGCCTGAGCAAAAGGAAGACCCCATCTCTACTAAAAATAGAAAAACTAGCTAGGTGCCTATAGTCCCAGCTACTTGGGAGGCTGAGGCAAGAGGATCGCTTGAGCCCGAGTTTGAGGTTGCTGTGAGCTGTGACACCATGGCACTGTACCCAGGGCGATGGAGTAAGACACTGTCTCAAAAACATGATGTTGTTTGTGTGTCATATCCTTAAGAACTCCCCCGGTGCCCCCTGTGCTGCTGTCCCTAGGTGAGAGTAATCTCGCTGTGGGGTAGCCGCAAGGAGGCAGAGTGTCAGCCTCCTGTTGGTGTGAACTGGCACCTGTAGAGACAGGGCAGGGAGCTGACCCTAGCCAGAAAGTCTGCACCAGTTCTCCCACCTTCACCCTGAATCAAGCTTTGATCCACTAACATGGGATGAAATAAACAGGTAGTTGTATATTTTTTTCTTTCTTCCACATTAAATTTGAAAGGAAGAAGGACTCCAGGGAGAGAGGGAGCCTTGTGCATTCTCCTGCCTTATCCTTAAGATGGGCGCCCTATCTGAGGACTAGGGAGGCAGTAAGCCTCCAGGGACGGTTCCTTCCCTACGTAATAATCCATCGATTCTTGTATTCCCCACATTGATGCTCTAGTTCAGTGAAAGAATCTAAGCTGCTCCTTGGGGAGTCATCATACAGCCCCATTCTGATAAATTATTCCAGTTTTTAACTTTATCATCAACTCACTTCTTATGCAGAAACTCTGAGCAAATGAAGCTAGAACTTTCTGGGTCTTAACCTCGATGGAATGAGTTGAGCCTTGATCCTTCCACCTTAGTCACTCGGTTCACACTGGCAGACTGGTCAGCACACACACCTTTAAGAAGGAACATTCTCAGAGCTGCCTCAACACTGAAAGAAAACCTCTCAGCTTCTGCACATGCACATGGACCTATTTCCAGTCTGTTCCCAGCACATTTTGAAGCAAACCTTGTCCCTGTCTGAGAATGGAAGCAGGAACTGTATTCCCAATGCATCTTTGCTTTTACAGGTAACATCCAAGTCTGCTGATGAACGATTTTGCTATTGATGTGGGGATCTTTCGGCTTCTGAGTAATAGTGGAGGCACTTCAATCCCCTTGTTGTGCTGAAGTCTGGGAATAAAGCGTATGGTGGATTTTGCACATGAAGACGGATATAAAGGAAGCGCATTTCCTGGAATGCCCTGTCTTGGTGCCTGGGACTGGGAGTCCTGGCTTTTACCTGTGTCCTTGCAGCCTCCGCCTCCCAGTCTCACAGGAGAACATCGCTCCTACCCACAAGGACTGGTCACGTTTTCCCTCCTGTAATGCTATTTTGTTTATTTCTAATTGATTCTTTACTTTTCCCTTTTTGGGTATCACGTGACGAATTAGTTGGCAAATTGTTAAAAGTGTCCTGGATTGGGCCAGATTCTAAAATGTGCTGTATGTAACAAGAGGACCCTGCTCTTTTCAGAACAAAGTATTTTTATTTCCCGTGATGTTTCGCACCTGTCACGGGAGGAGCTACAGCAGGGTCTCGTCCTCTCAGATGCTCCAGGAACTCCTCTTGAGGGAATCCTCTCGTTCCTAACAATGTGAAAATTCACTCAAACCGGAACCTTCAGAGGCACTACTGATTTTATTTTCACTGGGTGCTCCTCTTATTTCTTAGTTTTTCCATTAAAAATAGTGCATGGATATTATAGAAAATTTAACTACATACAGAGGTAGAAAGAACAAATCGCCCCCACTACCTAAAGGTCATCACTGCGAATGTTTCTGGATGTTTTCCAGGTCTGCTTTTTTCTATACAGGTTTCATTTCTCTTTTAAAATTTTACATGATGTCATCATTATAATACATGCAATTTTATATAAGCCTTTTCACTTTGCATTTTATCACAGTTTTCATTATACTTATGGTCTTCTTAAGCATCACATCAATAATTGCATGCTATTCAACCTCTAGTGGTTTCCATGATGTTGGTCATTGAAAGCTATTTCCAATTGATTATCAGAATTAGCGTCTTTGTGCATGAATCTTTTTGCTGCATTCAGGGAAAGTTTCCCAAGACTAGTCCAAGCAATACCTATTGATTATCCAGCCCCATGCAGTTCTTTTTCATAAATGTATAGCGAATAGAAATTGTTAACTCGAGTGTAAGATATGAAATACATGCATGTCCAACTATTAAGATATCATATTCAATCCTTAGTTTAGGAAGAAGCCAATATGCTTGTTTAAATTTAGATGTTGAAGGCAATGGCATAGGATTAGGAAGACTGTGTTATTGAAGACTCCCAGTTGTAGCTTTCTCTGGAAGGGCTACTATCTGAGCCGGACGTACGTAGGAATTTAAATACTCATTGTTAGTTCTTCAGCTTTGATTGGACTATCAACTCAGTGGCTGGAGGAGGAAATCTTAAGGGGAAGCTATGAAAAAAATCATCTAATTAGAAAAATTACAGAAGCATTAACCCTAAAACGTTGATTTTCCTGGGCAGTAGTAAAAATGGCTACTCACAGCATTTGCGATGTTTGCAGGGGATGAACACGAAGAAAGTCGTCCTTTCACTTAAACCTTAATGCTGGCCTGAAGGGGCATCTTAGTCAATTGGGCCAATCAATTCCTGGCTTCAGCTGCTGAAAGTAGATGGAACAAAATTTACATGACAAAAATTGTCAATGAATGGGCCATTCAAAATTTCTCTGTGAGAGAGAGAGAGAATGTCACTTTCATCTCACCATGGCAACTAAAATCTCTGCCTCTTTTGAAACCACGGAGAAGACAAAATGTCATCCCCATACTGCCTGAAAAACTACAGCATATGACAGTGCCTGAGATTGTGCAGAAAGCAGCAGCTCTCAACCTCGTCCCCGCAGTTCTAGTAGGGAATTTGAATAAAATTAGTAAATTAAATGTAAAATTCCCAGAAGATGAAATGTAGCGTAATCTATTTTCTGATCTCCCTTTAACTAATTCATCCATAAGTTGGTCTTTTCCACTGACTGTTTCTGTGAGCTTCGGAAACAGACCTGCGTGCACATCACTATTGGCAGCCAAAGAAATCCTCTCATTAATGCTAAACAGAAAAAGCCCTCAGGACCCAGAGCTCACTGGTATCAGAGAGGGGGCTGGTCAGTGTTTCCAACTCAGCTGGACTGGGGGATGTTGATGCACAGTCACCCGACCGGGTTTTTGCTTGTGCACAGCCATTGTCTCCACTGTAGCTCACGAAAATAGCACATGTGTTGAACATGTCTCTAATCAAAGGTGCTACGTCCTCATGTGGGGCACTAATGGTGTCCGTGCCCTTGTGCACCGAGAATCCGCAGCCCGGTGTAAATGGAGGTGTTAATGGACTAAATAGCGGATAGAGGGATTGCCGTGTGTTGCTTTTGTCATTCTATTGAGAGTGAAAAAAAATAAAATTCCTTAAAGTTCAGTCCAATTCATTCTGTAGAGATTTCATTCCTAGAGTTATATGAGCTGACACCTCTGAGCAGGTTGCTAGAACATTCTTGTTGAATACAAGCAAAAGAACTGACCCCTTGGTTCTTGTTCCAATCAGCATGGCCAGTTTGGATCCTGTGGCCCACTTTTATCCCCCCACACCCAACTGTAGGACAAGGATCCCCAGCTCCAGCATGAGGATCCCCAGCTCCACTGACTCAGAGCTTCCTGTGTGTCAGTAGGTGTTTCTGAGGGTTCACGGATGGGGGCTCACAGGTGGGGGCTCACAGACAGGGCTCACAGGTGGTGGCTCACATATAGGAGATCACGGATGGGGGCTCACAGATGGGAACTCACAGATGGGGGCTCACATATAGGGGCTCACAGACAGGGCTCATGGACAAGGCTCATAGGTGGGGGCTCACAGACAGGAACTCACAGATGGGGACTCACAGGTGGGGGCTCACATATGGGGGCTCACAGACAAGGCTCACAGGTGGGGGCTCACAGACAGGAACTCACAGATGGGAGCTCACGGACTGGGGCTCACAGACGGGGACTCACGGATGGGGGCTCACAGGTGGGGGCTCACATATGGGGGATCACAGACAGAGCTCACGGACAAGGCTCACAGGTGGGGGCTCACAGACAGGAACTCACAAATGGGGACTCACAGGTGGGGGCTCACAGACAGGAACTCACAAATGGGGACTCACAGGTGGGGGCCTCACAGATGGGAACTAACAGATGCAGACTCACAGGTGGGTTCACAGACGGGAGCTCATGGATGGGGGCTCACAGATGGGGACTCATGGATGGGGGCTCACAGGTGGGGGCTCACAGATGGAGACTCACAGACGAGGACTCACAGACGGGGGCTCACAGACAGGGTCTCACGGATGGGGGCTCACAGGTGGGGGCTCACAGATGGGGACTCACAGGCGAGGACTCACAGATGGGGGCTCACAGACGGGAGCTCATAGACGGGGACTCACAGATGGGGACTCACAGACGGGGCCTCACAGATGAGGACTCACAGTTGGGGACTCACAGATGGGGACTCACAGACGGGGACTCACAGATGGGGACTCACAGATGGGACTCACAGACGGGGCCTCACAGATGGGGACTCACAGATGGGAACTCACAGACGGGGGCTCACAGATGGGGACTCACAGACGGGGCCTCACAGATGGGGCTTATAGGTGGGGGTTCATAGATGTAGGCTCACAGATGGGGCTCACAGATAGGAGCTCACAGACGGGGGCTCACAGACAAGGCTCAGGCTCCACCCTAGAACCAGCATGGCTCACAAACAGGTGGTGGAGACTCTGGTCCCTGTGGGGTGTGATCTCCTTTCTGCAGGCACTGTCCCCTTGTATGTTCCTGGGTCCTCCTGCTCCCAGCCCATATTTGTTCCAGGAAAAATTGGGGATATGTTTCTGCTCCTAAGCTGCAGCTTCTTGGTCCACCTGGGACTGAAGTGTGTTGTTGTCATGGAGACCGTTGCTGTCTGTAGCCTCTGTCTCAAAAATAAAAGGCTTAGTCGGGCCCTGAGTGTGAGGAACTGGATATCAAAGGCACACACGCTGCCACCCTCCCGGACCTCCCGGGCCAGTCCCGGTGGATGAGCCTTTACTCTCCCGAAGAAGAAAACCTTGGTGGGAAATGACCCCTGCGTAGCCTGCTGCCTTCCCCGCTTATCGTACCTGAGCCCTCGTCTCTGAAGCACGGTTCATTGAGCAGGATCCAGCTGGGGTGTGAGGGGTGCACATACACGTTTACAGCATTAGTTTTTTAAACCAGTATCCCCCCTGTAATAATCTTGTTGACAAGAAGAAATTTCCCTCTTTGTTCTATATGTACAATGTGCTGCTGTTCAGTGCCGAGTACAAGCACTTCTGTGGGAATGAGAATGGTTCGAAACACATGAGAGCCCTGGGCAGCCTCTGCCTCCACGCCCCGTAATCTGCTGAGTAGAGGAAGAAATGGAATTGGTGGGAGGCGGGAGGCCAGCTGCAGGGGCAGGAGGGAGTGCAGACCAGGAGATGCCTGTGTGGGGTGGGAGGAGGAGAGATGTGCCTGGGGATCTGGTCCTTGCTGGGCAGTAAGATGGGACGGTGGTTTCTCCTAAATTCCTCTTAAGGAGACCAGTCTGGTATTGGTAGGGTGGAAATGCCTGGGAAGGGAGCAAGACACAGGTAGTTGGAGATGTCACTTGCTGTGGGCACCAGTTGGTGGGGGGAGGGGGGCGTTGACATTGTTGAGGAAATGGGGTGGAGGAGACGGCACAACAGGACAGGCTAAAGGGGCGTGTTAAGGAGGGTGTGCTGGGTGACCCCTCCATAGGATGGTGCCAACCTCCAGAAAGGAAATATACAGTCGCATCACCAGAGCACACGGGACCTTCTAGAACACGGGCCTGCCTGTGCACCCCCCACGGCCTCCCTCTGGTCACCCTGGACTGCAGTAGTTTCCTGCAGGCACACGCATCCATCCAAACTCCCACCGCTCCCATGGATTCTCAACGCTGCTCTGGGAGTGAACCTCCTGAACTCAGACTGGAGGCAGCACTCCTGCTCACAAGCCTTCTGTGGCTCCCTGTGCACCAGTCCCACCTCCCTCCTGACAGGGAGACACAGGCATGGGCAGCCTGGGCCTCACTTGCTTCTGCAGATGCATTGTGTGCCCCCCTGCCTGCCACCCCCACCATCCCTGCTCCCAGACTTCAGTGACAGCCTCCCGGGTGGCCTTCCTGTCCTGAGCTGTGTCCTCCTCTGGACACTTCCTTCCACCACTGGCCCAGCACTCTGTGCCTGGGAGACCAAACTGCTTGTGCCACCTGCCCTTCCTCCTGGCCTCTCCCATCCTTCATTGGAGGATTTTCTAATAGGAGGTGGAAGAGTTCCAGAGCTCAGAACTACAGGACAGGTTTTCGTCACTGTTTGCTGGCTGTGTGGCTTTGAGAAGGTTATACAAACTCTCTGTGCCTTGATTTCCTTACCTGTGAAATGACCCTTCTTCCTCAGAGGGTCCAGAGAATTTAGTGAGATGACATGAGAAGGTCTAAGGTCGCAGCCTACCCTTGGAACTGCTCAGGACTGTTAGCTCTCCTGACTGCCGCCATTCTCAGCTGGTCACTCTGGCCAATGTCTCCTCCTACTTCTGGAAAACTCTTATCCCACCATCAGGGCTGGACTTGGGAATCATCTCCTCCAGAAAGCCCTCCTTGACCTTCTACTTCCAGACAGCCCCTGGCAGAGCTGTCCTATGAAGCCTTCCAGACTCTTCCACTCATGGCCTGTGTAGGAGATAGAAGAATCTGTGGGGCACCTGGGTGCTGGAGGAGCCTTCTTTTGGCCACAGGCCCTGGCCAGGCTCCACCTAGCAGCTCAGCACCCTGACACACCTGTGACCCATTCCTGGTCCTGCAGTTGTGGTTACTAATTCCCAGCATGGCCTGTTTATGTGTCTCCCTCCCTCACTTTTGAGAAAGGTGACATTGACAGGTTTGTTTACTCATTGTGCCTACACAGTGCCGGGCCAACTGCATGAGCTCAGTGAGATATGTGTGTGCTGAATCAAGCTGTTCAGTATCCACCATTCTTTAAGGAGCTCTGTGGTATCCTCAGGCATGCTGTCCCTATCCCTTCTTGCCTGGTTAGAACACTGCTCAGCCCTAATTAAGCCCCTGCTTTCCTTGCCCCTCACCCCTAGGCAGAGCCCATCAGTCCTTCTCCATTTGAGGATGGGCCCTAATATGTGAGGATGGGTCCCAATATGTGAGGATGGGCCCCAATATGTGAGGATGGGCCTCAGTATGTGAGGATGGGCCCCAATATGTCGACTTAACTGCAGCCCTTTGTGGCCTGTCCACAAGGCCATGGTCATTGTGTACAGGTCTTACACTACGTTTCTCCAAAGAAGCAGAACCAGATTTGCTTGAGGAATTGGCTCACGTGATTATGGAGGCTGAGAAGTCCCGTGAGTTGCTGTCTGTGAGCTGGAGACCCCAGAAAGCCAGTAGTGGGATTCCAGTCTGATCTTAAAGGCCTGAGAACCAGAACGGATAGTGTAAGCCCCAGTGTAAGAGCAGGTGGAAACTGATGGCTCAGTAACTGATGGCTCAGCTCACACCGTCAGACTGAGGTAGAGAATTCCCCCTCCTTGGCCTTTTTGTTCCATTGGGGCCCTCAGTGGGCTGCATAGTGCCTGCCCACTCACCCTGCGGAGGGAAATCTGCTTCCTTGAGTCCATCGGTTCAGGTGCTAGTCGCATACCCGAGCCCTCATGGACACACCCAGATGATGGTTAACCAGACATCTGTGCACCCTGTGACCCAGTCAAGTAAAGTAAACCATCTCAGATCTGTCCCTTTCCTCACACCTCTTTCTTATATGACAAAGACCTGGACTTTTGTATGGATTCAACAGTTGGTGCCTTCAGACATACACTGTGTGCCATAGTAGGCTTAGATGAACTAATGACATGACAATCCCAGGGAAAGGTGGGTCTGGATAGTAGCAGTTGTGTGCCGTGGGCTATAATGGGGGCTTTGCTACCAGGCTTCAGGGGAGCAGTATGAGGGTCTCTCAACCTACCTATAGGGAGGCTGGAGGGTGGGTAAGGAATCCCAGGACTCAGGCAAACCGTAAATAGGATGTAATAGGAGGGTCATGGTTGAGAGTTGTAGTTGAGGAGGATCATACATGTGGGCTGGAGATTGAGAGCACAAGTTTGAACTGGTGAGACTGGGCTCACCTTCCAGCCCTGAAATAAGCCCAGACCCTGCCTGGCATGCAGTCCCTACTTGCACAATGCCAGCTCTCAGAGCCACGGTCACTTATTAACTTCTTTTAAAGTCTATGTTCTGGCCAAAATGGTTCACAGCTATCCTGTGAAATCTACTGTCACATGTGAGGGATGATTTGGCTAGAGAAAGTGGAAACACACCATCTGCTTTCGGGGGGCTGTGCCTGTAGGATAACACCCCAAGGG